AAATACTAATTAACAATTAAAAGTGCGACTGGTTTAAACGGAAACGCGCGTGCACGAACATCCTGAGCGCGTGTCCCGATATCTTAGGGCGTTTCGGTCTTCGGCTATCTTACCGTTAAACTCCTGTACAAAATTGTACTAGACACTAAATTTTGTCTTATGAACAGTACAAATAAATATACACAGATAAATCAGTCACTTAAAGAAAATCAAATCGTAAATTTCAATAATGAATTTTGCGTTAGGTATTTCATTAAAATTAACTCAAATATTAAAATATTCAATATTGATTTAAAGTGATTTTAGAATAACTGATAAAGAAAAAGTCATTAACTTAGTTCTTTTTGTAGCTCTCAAATAGTCGCTTCTTTTGATTAAGTTGATTTGATATTAAGAATGTGTTTGTTTCACCAGATATCTTAGTCAGTTAGTTCATAAAGCTCATTTTTGAAATTTAATTGAATTTATGTTTAAATCTTCTTCAATATGACTTCTTTCAATTGATCATATGTTCTTGTATTTTTATCATAGACATTATTTTATCAATTAGCTGTAGCAACTTCTACCCATCCAGCGGTTTACCAATATTTAATTTCAATCCACTTCAAGAAATGTTGTCTTTTCTTGCTTCATTGTCTTTCTCTTATTTTACTAGATCTTTATATCACTTTTCTGTTTATATTTATATCGTATAATATTGGTTTATTTCACTGTTTTAGAAATTGCTTAGAATTTTGAATGTTGAGAGTCAAAATAACTTCACTTGTTACCGCGGGGGTCAAAAATGCCGCATCTTCGTTGAGTTTCTATTCATATTTTCTTCTAACTTGAATCTACCAATTTATACTCGGTCTAGATTAGTAGATTTGTTGATGCATGGCTTCTTACTTGGTCTAAAGTGGGCTTAAAATTTTACGTGCTATTGGCATGTTTTTCACATTTCAAGTTTCTTGAAGTATTCCTGCTCTGTTTGCTTAAAAAAACCATCTTCACTTCTCCCGGTCAACATTTTCAACTGATCAAACCTTCTATTTTTGAAACAGCTTTTCCAGGTCTGTGATTATCGTATCAGCTCACAAAATATGAAGTTTTTGTTCCTTTTGGGCTTTAATCACAATGTTTAATATTATAAAAATCATCACTTCTTCGTTAACTTGGCGAAAGTGAGTGTGCTTTCCAAAACACTTCCAAAAGTTTTCGCTGCTGCAGCTTTATGATATTTTATCAATTGCAAATAGTAATTTATTGGGCAATGGTAATTTGTTGATTTATTCGGTATTAAAGTTAATAGTTTTGTTCCAAAGTGGTTTTGTCACTTGCTCACGGAATCCGTTTTGAATTCCTGTTGTAGAATCATTTTTCACTTATTTTCGTTCAGATTAAAACTTTGAAAAAGTACAATGAGCAACTTGGTTTGTACAATTAAAATAAAAAACCGAAACATAATCGTTAGGTAATTCGTTCAAGTTGAAGAGCGACGCGTCCCTTTTGAAGGTACGTTATGGGGTGTTTGTTAAGGGTCACGGTAGGCCGCCACACTTCAACAGATGGTTGAATAGGTGGGAAATCATCGAACCATTAACAGGGGAAGCCGGCATTTCCCTATCCTTTTTTACTTTATCCAAACCTGCATGAGCAAACTGAAAGGGGTCATTTGGTTACCAATTATGTACGACCACAAACCCCCCTATTAATAAAAAAATTCGACAGTGAATTAAAATTTCGTGTCCAATGGATAGAGCAACAGTTTCCTACCAACTTTTAGCAAACATTTTACAATGACATAGAACAAAGGAATAGAAAATTAACCACTTAGTGTAAGGAAACCCAAAGGATCACTTGTAATTTTCATATGAAATTGAAAATCTACATACTTTTATTATGTTGCATTTAAATTTAAATAAAACCTGAACATGACGGACAATAACTCATCAATTGTTATAGTAGGTAGAACGTAGAAATTGAATAAATAATATTCAGTAATGATTTTAGCCCATAAAATCGCCAAACCATCAAAGGGACGGAAATGTTTATATTCTGTCGATATAAACGATTTCATAACACTATACGGGTGAACACCTCGTTATTCAATTACACATTATTAAATACAATCATCACTTAATGCCAGATTTAAATAGCTGAGCTAAGAGTCGCCTTATAAAATTTAATGAATCGAGATCAGGTTGTACTATATTTTCATGGAAATTAGATGTAGGTTTTTGGGTTTGTGGAGGTTTATTGGATAAGATGTGATATTTTACATGCTCCCAGTAAAATAAGGGAATGGAAATTATAACCATTTTCTCCAGAGTATAACATAAGAAAAGATCTCTTCTATTATGTTGTTTTGTGCCAATACCTTGTATTGCTATTATGTGCAGTGGTTATTTTGTATAGAAAACTAATCATTTCTGTTTGACGTGAAAATTTGCCAAACGCGAAGCATAACTAAGAAACTTTTTAACTATTTTCAGATTTAATACCATTTTG